TAAGCGGTGGTGGGTCAAATGTAAGCGACTATATGAGAGATTTCTAAACTTTTGAGAATCGAAATCTATATAAATATGACTTAATATAATAGTGAAGGCAACTTTAAAAACCTAAAGCAAGAATTAAAACAAACTATTATAGATTATTCTAAAGTCAAATAAGATTTAAACTTAATAGTAATCACTTATACATAGTAATAAATTACAATTAGGCTTAAATCTTATATATGTATAGTTCAGATTATAGAAAACTTTGTCCAATCATTTTTTAAACCTTAATATATAGAGTACAGAGATCAAAATTCGTTAAAGAAATTTTACATATTGTGTGTGGTTTTCGGCATTGAAACTCCGTAGTTTTTGAATTTTTAGGCTTCTAATTTTAAATTATTTACTTCCAAATTTGAGTTCATCTTCAGGTATATAAAGCCTCGCTCAAATAGTTCTGCATCATTTCAACGGCAACAGTTGCCCAAGTTAGCTTTTTGGAGCTCGTACAGAGCTAGCTAAATTCTTAAAAGGCCTATTTTAAAAGAACTCTTCAAAGTTACGGTCTCAAAGTCACTTGACACCATTTTGGCTGAAATTAAACATCAATAAGTCAATACTGACAGTACTCTACTAAACCTTATTCACCACCTTCAAGCTTGGACGGAAATATTTTCTCCTGAAGCTGTCTACGAGTTTTCATCTGGAGGCCTGAGCTGCTGATCCGTTCTGGGCTACGAAAGAACCATCTACTCGACACATTGAGAGATGCGTCGTCGAGAAGGTGCTGCGGAACTTCGCCGTTGACCCACGACCTATCACCAGAAGCCTTGCGTTGACGACGACTATTTCTACGCTGACGGAACGGAACTTCACCGCTGACCTGTGCCCCATTACCAGAACACCTACGCTGATGACGGCTATTTCTACACTGACGGAACGAAACTTCACCGCTGACCCACGCCCCTTCACCAGATCACCTACACTGACACTCTCACTCTCACTCTCGCTACTTCACTACTTACCTCACCAGTCACCTCGTCCCTTTATTTATTTTTTTAATTATTGTAAATAAATTATTTAATTTAATTTACCATCTTTTAGTTTATTTATTCTTGTTTCATAACAAAGTGTGATTTTAATTCGCGGACATAAAGTTCCGCACCGGAAACAAGCAAAAAATCAAGGTTGTTATATGGAAACCTGCAAATAATTATTTTATTCTGGTTTTTAGTATACGTTGTTGAAGCGGCGATAGAAATATATCATCTGTTAAAAATTTCAACTGTCTCACTTTCACGGTTCATGAGATATACCTGGTGACAGACAGACAGCGAAGGCTTAGTAATAGAGTTCCCGTTTTACCATTTGGGTATGGAACCCCTTAAAAATACTTATTCAATTGAAATTTTTCATTAAAGTTTTAAAGAGTATATTATTTGTTTCATTTACTTCATTGTCAACTGTGATATATCAATCAGTATGTTTACCAAAGACCATAAAGCACGATCTAAGGTATAAATAATTCTTAAAGTCTCATATTTTAGAGAAATATTCATAACTCTTTTTGTACTCTTTTTATGACAATAATATCTCCTTTTTCCTTCCTATGAGTATCTCCGCAACTGGAAGGCAAAATTGCGCCTATTTTGAGAGTGGAGGGTGTGTTTCCGAAAGTTAGTCCAGCCCGCCAAGCTCCGATAGAAATGCTCCTAGCGCCTTCACGTCTTCGATAGCTTCCTGGAGAGTACCGGCGAGCAGAAGTATCTTGCCCAGTTGTTGAATCCCAGCAAAACATGGGCGGCTTTTTCTTCTGCCTGGGCATCCTTTGAACAGGTGGCTGTCTGTGACACCTAGATTAAAAACGTGTCTGTTAAGATTGCGATGATCAGAGATAGAACCTGTTACTACCCGTTCACTTAGGGTAGTGCAAGTTTTATCTGCTTGCAGGTCGCTAGGACCTTCGTCGTCTCCATAATACGGGGGCTTTAGCTACTCGTCATGGAATCTGAGCAATGTATGTGATGTTGTCTAATGTATATATAATTATTTATCTATATGTTGATTTCCCACGAAACACAGTGATCACCAAAAGTGACAGCCAAGTTTTTATTGAAGTCATTCACGGCCTTGATATTTATAACTTTTTTATACACGCTTGGCTTTTTGTATGATATTAAATCTCCAACTCGGGCACAATCAGTTTAATAAAACACAATCAGTTTAATAGTTTAATTGTGAATCTTGTTTTTTTTCCCAATTTGCACAGCCTCTCACGAATTGCTCAATTCGATATTATTCCCATATGTCCAACCCAACAGAGCATGTCTATGCCTCCAGCTCCAGCATCTTTCAATATAGATTTATCACTATTCGTTGCTAAATATATCATTGAAGACTAGCTGAGAAGACATTATTAGTTTAGTATAAAGATGTACATATATTTATATCCGAACTAGCTTTTTCCCAAGACTTCGTCCACTTAGAAGCGAAAAAGGATTCTTACTGGGTTGTTACAGTATTAATTTTGTTTTAAGATATAAATTATTATATTAAAATCCACTTTTAATAAAATAATCCAATGAATTAATAAAAATGGCTTCCGAACTTTTTATACAGTGATCGCAAATGTTCTTTAAGTAGATAATCTAAGAGATTTCCAAGGAATTTTTGAAGGAATAAATAAGGAAAATTTTACAGTCAAATATACAAAAATCTTCCAAGTTTCAATCATTTTCAGTTTCAATCTCTAGCTTTATAAATAGCTGTGCTAACGCGTGTGCTTTAAATCTGTAAGTATTATTAGTAAATAATACAAATATAGTGCTATTTATAAACAAGGTTTAGCGTTGGAGTAATTTTACGCTGAGACTGCTCTTCGTATTAGTCAAAATTCATATTATTAAACAGAGACTTAGCAAAGGTTAACCTAGTACGAGGTTCTACGGGAGTATTATTTGCTCATATAAGGTAGTAGATTTGCTTATTCTCTATGTAATATGAATATGGACTAATACTAAAATTGCAATTTTAGCGTAAATTTATTCTGACGCTAAACCTTGTTTCTAAGTAGCACTGATAGTGTGAAGATAAATTTAATATGTTTTTATAATTATGAAAAGCTCAACTTTATTGAAGACATTTAATACAAATGTCATTGAATATTGATTAGGTAACGAAGTATTTTTTTACAAACATGGAATAAAATTTTTCTCGCGTTAATATAAAAATTATTGGATGTATAAATGATCACACATCTACATTGAATATCTGATAACTAAGTTATTGCTGGTTATATTATATAACCTAACAAATATTGTATTTTTCTAAAATTTATATCCGCTGAGCATTGAACCCCTTCTCTTCAATCTCATAATCGTATATCATTGTTTTATCCCAGCAACTAGGTCGGATGGGGTGGATACAGCTAATTTTGTTTAGGGATCAATGCGGCAAAACCCTCGAAACTGCTAAGCTCGATAAGTAAGAGGTCGTGTGCGGTACGTTCTTATATATCAAGGTTCAGTGGCTTGCGAAAAGAGTATACACGGAGAAAAATATGTAGGTGCAAGTACTGAAATTTTCATATTATATTTGCCAAACAAGACTTCATTGTAATGATTAAAAACAAAATTGAAAAGCTAATTATAGTAATGTTCCTATGGTAGGCGAAAAACGAACGATCATCCCAAGTATACTGTTAGCTTTTATAATACTACAATAACATGACACCAGAATTCCTCAGAAATCAAAATTTCGTCTATTTTCGAATAATTAAAACGCCTCCAATTATTTATTTTTCGATAATATATCATGTAAAATAAGTAGGACCTGTCGCTGTTTCTAATTCACAGATACGATTTAACCGAAATTATAAGATTGATTCAAAATATTCCGAATTTTTGTTCTAAGACCAATAAAAAAAGTGTCATGTTAATTCGTACGAGTTATAAACGATATAAATCGCTATCCGTAAGTTTTATTGTTTCTACGGACTACTGCCGATGTAACGACCCGTACAATAAAACGCTATACATCCTTTAAACAAATTAGTATGAATAACTATATGTATCGTTTACTTTTAACGTTCCCATAATACTTTAGATTACTGATTTGCGTTAGTTATATGAACAGATTTTAGGTTAATTTTGCTGATTTTTATTTTATCGTCCGGAGCTCGTGGTGCTTTATGCGTTTGGTCTCCAAAGACGCAGAGCAACATTTAGAATGCCTGGTCTAAGGTAGGTTTAATAATAGTATATTATTTCGATGTCCTTCTTACTCCTAAAGGTATTTTAAGTAATTGGTCTCAACCATTATGAGTAAAATCTGTCTGTGCTCCAGCAATGAAAACATTGTCACACTGACGATCATGATGAATGATAGCAGAATCACAGACTCTTTGTCTGTATTAATATTCCTTTTTATTCTATCACATAACACCAATCTTTGAAATCTGAATCTAACACCTACGCAAAAAGAAAATTGGTTTTATTTATAAAACCACTTGCTGTTTCTGTTATCTCACAAATATTTTTCTTGCGAAATTCTATTTTGGTTCTATAAACATGTTAAAACCTTTCGAATTTTATAAAGAGAGTGAGTGTTTCTAGGTGAAAGTTTTTTTTACATTTAAATCATATCGTAGCATTTTTTTTTGGAAATAATATTAGAATATTGATGTAAGTTCAACAACGCAGAAATTTTAAACTATGAAATAAATACTTGTGGCTAAATATATATAACATGTTGAATAATAAACTTTATTTTAATTAAATGAAAATAAAAACAGTCTTTGTTTTATTTATCTAATATCACTGAAATTTTAATTGTTACATTGAAGACAGTGAGTAGCAATTAAGATTCCTGAAATAATGATGCATCATTTTCTTGGATATATTCTTGTTTCTTGACTACCTTTAATGTGATAATCAAAGTAATTTCAAGTGATAAACAAGGAAACATATATTTTTATTTATTTTAAAGATCACTAACTGTTTTCTAGTCTATTAATGTTGCAGTTCCGCAGCTTATTCAACCGGATAGAGGGGCTAGTGTGCAAAACCAAAGATAATTCTCGTGCCGCGTCAGTGACGTTACCGACAATTTGTCACGATGACGGACAGCACCATGTTGACAGTGTAATGTTGGAAACAAGTTATAAATATCATTAAGAGCTACATTCTATGAATATGACTAAGTAAAGCTAAGTGCGTTTACATAAAACTGTTTTCGATTCAAGTAGACACTTACAAAAAGATTTATAAGATTAATTACCGATTGTAGAAGAAATTTCAGTGCTTTAATCTTGTGATTAAAGCACTGACGCAAAATATCATTCTGCACTAAAAACGAGACACACGATGATCAGCTCCAAATATTGATTAATTGTCAATTTACAACACTCGCAAAAAATAAAAGTATTTCATGTTTCTCTTTATCTTGTTTAACGTGCAATTTTTTTACTGCCATTAATTAGTTTTTAAAATAAATTGTCATCATAATCAGTCTATTAATGTCCTCGCTGCCGGGAGAAGGGGCTATGACCTGCCACATGGGCCCAATGTGGATTTGGAGGTGTTAACAACTGCAGATGCAGCCTTGACCCAAGGTTAACGTATCTTTCAACGCACGGAGAAGCTCGACATAATAAATTTTTGGTCACCCATTCTTTGACCGGCCCTTGCGAAAGTTGCTTCACTATTGTATCACAGACCGAGCGAGCTGACCACTGCGTCATTGAGCTTCTGAAATCAATTGTGCTGTCCTGAAATTAAATTTAAGCTTTTTATTGAATGGAATTTGGGAATAATTTTTTTATTTTGTTTGAATAACATTGTTCTCCGCGGATACTCGGATATGGTCAACGGCCTATGGAACCCTAATAATAATAAGAGACACAAGATCGGGAAATAACAAAGATTTTACGTGACCAAAATTCAATACATTGAGTTCGGCAGCCTTACGTGCTTTGAGTTTCTGATCTTAGTCAGTTCACTAATACAAGAGCTATGGTGTAAATTAATCATAATTTTGTAGAAAGAAAATGTAATGACAAAACAAAAAGTTATTGTGACATACGCAAAGAATTTACACAGTAACCATTTTGATAGTTTTCGTCAACTGTTTCTGTGGGAGAAATGAAACCACTCGCCAAAATGGAATATGTCAACATTTAAGTTGTTTATTATTGCATACAAATTGTATCCACTTGATCGTGATCAGTTTCCTCAAAGCATTAAAAAATATTAAATCAATTTGGCAACAAAAGTGTCATTCATGAAAGAGTTAAGCCCAGTTTCTACAATCTCTTATTATTTCAAATGATGGTAAATCTGGGTCACCTTATCATCCTTTGTATCAAATGAAAATGCTATACAAATTATTCTACCATTCGTTTAAAGCGTATTATGTTTCGTTATAAATAAATAAGTATTTCCAGGTTTCCCAAATGCAGCAATTTTCATTTTTAGAACTATTTAATTAGTTATTAAAAATAATAAAAAATATTATTTGCTAGCTCTTGGACTAGGGATTGTATGAGCACACAAACTGTAACAAAAAGTAGTCTCAAGTAGATATTTATTAACATTCGCTTGTAACGTAACTTTGTTATTGGCTCGGCTCATTGTTATATGAAAATATTGATTCGATTCTCTCTCAACCAAGCATGAACTAGTTTCATTATTATTATGAACAATAGATATATACGAAATTCCCTGATATGATGATAAGAAGTATGTTCCGTGATTTGTAACTACGCGATAAAACTTACAGTTGTGTTTAAGACGTCCTTCTACAGTATGCCTTCACAGAATACTACAATACTTGATTATGTAGCATGCCGAGGCACAGACTACATGGAAGAGCTCATCATAATCGGCAAAGAGGATGGCAAACGACCAAGAGGACATAGTCCTAGACGATGGTCTGATCAGGTGTCAGAGGAACTACAAATGCCGATCAAGATCAAGCAGAAGACCGCAGTTAATTGAGAAGACTGTTACAACGATTCTATCGAAACCACAATCCTCAGCACTGAGGAACCGAGTTAAGAAGGAGGATATTTTATAAATCATATATCATATATTTAATAGGTAAAAATAATTAAGTAAAATTTTCAAAAGATGTTGTGATCATACCATAACTTCTCGCTTACTTTGTGACCGATCTACCAATTTAACTATCAGAGATCTGAAAAGCACTAGAATTTTGTCAAGGTCATGTCACTGTTTGAGTTAAAGAGTGACGATTAGACGATTGCACTATTTCATTATAGATTCTTACTCAAATTGTTTGCAACAATCATATCGATGATTAAAGAATGCCTCAAGAAAGGGAAATTTTATGTCTTCTCATAATTTGAGAGTTTTTAACGGTCAGTTGTACAAACGTACATTAAAATTTAATGACACCTTTAAGCACTACAGTATGTCAAATGTGTATGGGTAGTATCGCTTCAAACTAATGGGCGTTTGTGCAACTGGTTGTTAGTCTCATAAACTTTTTCAAGAGTAGAATGTTGTAAATCAAATCTAATTTAGTAATAAAAAGATAACTGTGAATGTAGATTTAAAGTTTAAATTCAGGTCTACGGCGCAAAATCGCAGAAAACAGAATTTAAGTAATACAACCTGCATTTAAATCACGTATTCACAAACGTTATTCATCCATCGGCTCTACAAGACCAACTCTGAACCGAACGTCAACAAAAACCACTCGCGGTTCGAAGTTTTAATTTTGTTTGTAACTCCTCTGCCTTATTTGAGCCAACTCGGTCTACGATCATCCACTCCGGAAGAGTACCATCATTGTGGACTTTAAAACTTTCCGCTGTAAGTCGAGTTTTAAGTGTTTAGCTACGAGATAGTTTTCCAAGAAAACATGAGGGATTGTGAGTTTCTGTTGATTGTTGATCCCGAATGAATGATATCTGCGATAGGTTTGTATCTGATAAATAAAAGATTTTTATCACATCACGTAAACGTGTAAGTTCTTAGTAAAGAAATAGAGTTTGATTTACATTATCTGTGTTAATATTATATGTATAAAAATAAAACCCTGAATTAAGAATGATAACCCGGAAGAATATTAGTGTGAAACTGATCTAGCACATAAGTAATTATAAATTATTTACATATTAATGTTGGAATAAAATTCAGCTTAAAAAACTATTGACAATCTGCAATACGTTTGATGATGTATTGTTTTAAGATATGACATGAAGACTGAACCGATGTTGCTGATTTTAAAGATCGCTACAACAACAACTTTACAAACGAAAGAAAAGGTGATCCGACGATACTGTCAAAATACAGGGTTATGGGTAATGAGTCCGGATCCTTTTAAGGGGTCGTAGAGAGGTCATTTATAATTATTTTCAATCCACATTGTATATCCGAAAGTAATTTTTTTTGCAAATTTACAACAACAAAAAACTTTATTTTTATTTAAAATTCTGTAGTTTCTTTTTGGGTCAAGATTAATTGAGTTTTATTATTATTTATCACGAACTGGAATGTTATCTCTCCACAACTGTCAAAAAATTAGATTCTGGATATAATTATTTTTTACGACTTTTTTAAAGAAAAATAAAAATACAATTTTTCACAAAAATTATTCACCTTTGGATACATAATGTGAGGTGAAAATAATTGTAAATGACCTCCCCTACGACCCCTTAAAGGATCCGGTCTAATTACCCATAACCCTGTATATCGTAATATCCATGAAATCTTAGATAAGTGTATAAGTACAAGTTATAAAATAACGCTGGTGGTAATAATAATATGCTTTATATCTAATACGGATAAATATGTTATGCTAAAGAGCAAATGTTCGGGACTAACGATCTGTAATTTAATACTGATAAAAGGAGTTAGTTTATTTACAATCGTTCCATAACAAAGTAATACCATAGGTAATATAAAACCTGTGTATCTCGCTAAGCGAGTCCATTACCGTCTAAAATGAAGACGGATTGTTTTATTGCCTACAGTGAAAGTTCCAAATTGACTTAAAATTAACTCGGCACTGAGTTAACAGACAATGAAGAGAAAGTTTCGATTTTATTTGTACTCATTTGAGGCGAGTTAGACTTTGTCGCTTTAGTTGCCGCTGAAATGTTTGTCTTCGTCAAATCAGTAGTGTTTGCTATACCGCAACAGGAAATAGTTCTCAAAGAAAAATAGGAAAAAGGACAATGTTCTATACATCCGAATACAGTCCGAATCTACTTAGAAAGCGACATTACTTAACGTTGAATTGGTATTATTCGTAACATAAGTGAAGTGAGCTTCGAAATGACACAGGCATAGAATGTCTAAGATTCGTATAAATAATCAATCTTGTTTTTTTTATTTTGAACAAAAAATTGAATCAATAGAATACCTACACAAAATGACGTGAATTTGGATATATGAGTGAATTCGAATTCGGGATAGCATTTTTACGGAATCGCTCTGAATTAGCTTTACTCATAGCTGGTAAATATTAGACGAAATGGAATCCTACCTTAACTTTTTTAAACGTTGCTACGTCAATATTTTGTTGTATTATAAGTGATTTATAGGTATAAGGTCTATGCTTAAAATATATAAAGATAAGAACTTACCTTTTCTATAAATAAATTCTACCTGGAAAAAAGAATAGACGTTACTAGAAGATTATTTACCTTACAATGAGAAGGGCTTGGTGACTTACGAATGTATATGTAGTCTAAACTAAGGGCTTTACACACCATCTGAAGCACAAAGGAGCTGAAAATAAAGATAAGTTTTTAGTCACTGATGAAAACCTGCTTAAATACTTAATATTAAGCAGGTTTTCATACGAATAATTTATAATAAAATATATCGCGTTTTATTTATTTATACACTCATTCGTCAAATATATATAAGCTAAATAGCTTGCCACCAGCAGCTTCGCCTACGTTTGCATTATACACATATATCCTCTTGAATTCCTCTATATATTGATAATAACCGCTTTAAAATTCGTTGTGTAGTTCAAAAGACCTCTCATCTAATTACTTTGTTTTAAACTACGTATAGCTATATCTATTTTCTTAGATTTTCGAATTTGAACATTGAAGTAAATGTGTGCAAAAAAGTTCATCTATAACCTTCTCTGAGTGAAACTTGGGTTATCATGCGTTCAATTTGACTATCCAAAGCTCATAAGGTTAAAATTAAAATTATTTTGTACGAAATCAAGAACTATTTTACAGATTTAGAGCGTTTGATGCTGAATTCGACGCTGTTTTTAAGAGACTATAGAAACTGACAACACTTAACGTACTGGAACAAGGTAGATACCAAAGGTACCGAAACAGTTTACGTCGTACTGTTAATTTACAAGATATATATAGTATCTAGCCTTAATTGATAATATAAAATATTCTACCTGACTAAGTTTCCGAGACAAGTTATAGTTTCTAGGCAGAGTGGGGATTACACTTTTTTATATACCTATATGTGAGTTCAAGAGCCAATGTTCTTTGGACGTACCTCTAAATAAAATACGATTGGCACAATTGCTCCTGCATACAAAGACGAAATGGCTTTATGAGTCTTTTCCGTCAACATAACATGGTATGTAATAACATGCCCTTCTTATCCCCATTGGTTATTTGCTCTAGCACTTTTATACATGTACATATATGCAACAAACATAATCAGCTTATTTATGTCCCCATGTATGGAAGGTCAGTATTAGGTGAGTATTAACGACTGGTGATGCAGTCAGTACTAATGAAAATGTGCATTCCGAAACATAAAAAGGCTTGCAATGGTCACTCTTTCTACAGACAGGTACCCAAACTAGCGCCTTTGCTGTTTACTTAAACTACTCTAGGAAATGGGCTCAGAGTTGTTGCTTTAGCGGAGTTCTGTATTTGAATGAAAGATATCGAAATATCACTTATAAAAAATGAAGCATTATCCTAGTGAGTGACTATCAAAATTGATGGTATAATCGACATGGGAGTTCCTCTTCACATGAATGTCGGCTTTTGATTAGCTAGTTAATTTTAACATTGACCAAGCGGATTTGATAAAATATACTAGCTAATAAAAGATAGTAGATACTTGTCTATACTAATCATATTATAAGTAGGAAAGATACGATTGTTTGTTTGTTTATGTTTACAATCCAAAACAACTGGACCGATTTTAAAAGTTCATTCACCTACGGGAAGTTACATCATATGCTGTGAGCATAGGCTATATTTTATCCCAAAAACATCAAACAAATTGATGAAAATGAGAGTGGAAGTTTGTATAGGGAATTACCACTTTACCATAGTAACCATTGTTTCACTTTCAATTTGTCATTGTAATTATATCCATGTCATTTTATGAAAGATGACCAAATAAACAGTTCCATAGGGATCACGCGAGTGGTCTATATCCTATTTATCATATAAATGTGTAGTACTATATCCTATGTTCCCGCAGAGCAGTCCAAAGTTTGATCCGCTTGTCCGCGGCTAAGCCTCAACTCCAATAAACCTATCGCGGATCTGTTTGCTCCGAGGATTGTGCATGATTTATTATACAACTTTCTGAAATTATGAAAAAAATTTGGCGAGATTTTACCGCTATTTATATTTACGGTGAAAAGTTTAAGTGATATCGTATTGGATTTTTTGCAGCTTTTATTTTTGTATTTAATTTTAAAATTCTTTAATGTTTACCAGATCGTTTTCAAAGAGAAATACCAATAAAAGATAGTTTGCGATTATTAAGTATAGATGGAAAATCTACACATAAAATGAAATCGCTTACGAAATAGACAGATCGTGTTTCATTATACGTTCCAGAACACAATCTGGATTTTGGGGTTGTAATGCTCAATATGGCTTTTTATAATTTCACGTATATAATATTCGTAGGATTTTCATATTCATTTCCAGCTTTCTTGTCACATTTTATCCAAGTTTGATGGTTCGATATCGATGAAATAATGTATTTGATATTAGTATACTATTAATCACCATTTAAAGAAGAAAATTAGCCAGAGTTATGATTATAACTATAATAATCGTATTACTAATAATTAAAAATATTTCAAAACTAATGACGTGACCCCGTTGTAAAGGAAACAACAAACAGGTTAATGGGTTTTCTGGAGTTGGTTTGTGCGTGTTGACTAATATGGTAGTAATCTAATCTGACATAAATATAGTATTGATGAAGACACAGACACCATAAAAGCAAATTTGGTGTACCGAGATTGTGGATAGTCATTGTATATATACCATGTTGCGCTAATGTAAATAGGTTATACTCGTACCTTTTAGATTTTAAATTGAATTAGGTACGTTTTTTTTAAACTTGAATAACGATTGACAATATGTCATTGTATTTAATAAATACTGCAATAAAACCACGTTTCACTGTTCAGTTTCAGGTGATGAG